TTTCAAGTAGAATCACTTTTCAAAATATGAACAGGTTGGCAACTTTCCAGAGTCATACTGAGTCAGAATCTCAATGGCAAGCTGGGGTAGGTTCTGCTGAGGTGGTTCATAATCAATATAGGAATCCAAGCAGCCAGAATGACAAATTTTGGGATTTTATTAGCTGAGCTCCATGACCACCTGCAAAGACCCCTGTTTCAGAGTCAAATCAAATGGTCCCAAACTACAGGGTTGCAGAGTTTTTAAAGGAAAAAACCACAAAGCAGGGCATCCTGTTTGGAACATTTTAAATAGAATTTTACATTAATTTTGGTTAACACTTGTATCTTGCTTCTTTTGTTGAGCAGGTTAATTTTTCTCTTTGTGAGTGCAGCTTATTCCGCTTTTCTCATGGGACTTGTACTCTGAGTAATTTTTCACTCTGCTGCATCAAATACAGGGCACAAGATGGCATCAGTTATGCCAAACTACAACAGCATCACCTGCAATTAGAATTGTTAGTTACTATACAGGCAATGAAAGCCCCTTCTTGAATTTGAAGCTATCATGTGAACAGGCCAAAGAACCTAGGTAAATTTGAAGTGTACTATGAAGTTTGAGAGCAGGATACTCCCAATTTGTTTTCATTTGGTTATTTTGTACTTTTTTCAAGTCTGTAATATTTATTGTGCATCTGTGATAAAGTAGGTACCACTCAGATGTAGCCATAGAGTTGACTGGTCATATAATTTAATCACAGGTAGATTCTTTTGGTTGTACACTGTTGTTTCATATATGATGATATGAGGGAAAATTCTTATTTAAAGGAATTTTAGGACAAAAAGTGTTTAGCAGGGCCTATTTCAAGACCTTTAAAGAGACTTTGGACTTTTTCCTTTATAATGTACACATACTATAAGCTGCAAGGCATACAATATTGAAACTTTTTTTTAATGGTACTTCAGGTTGAATCTAGGGTCTTTGATATGTTGGCAGACACTCTTCCACTGGGCTACCTCTCCAGGCCTCATTTGAAAGTTGTGTAACAACTAATCTTGTTGGCAGTTTTAGAGGATACCTACTCTTTAGTGTGAAAGTGCAGTCCTGGGGGCTATGTCTTTTTTAAAATTTTATTTATTTATTTATTTATTTATTTGTACTGGGATAGAATTCACGACCTTGCGCTTGCCAGGCAGACACTTGTGCTTCTCAGAGCTAAATCCCTGGCCCCTGCTGTCCTTTTAAATGGTGAATTCTGCAGTCACCACCAGATGTCACCATGTGCTTACATGTTGTTACTCTGCTCTTTGGGCTAATGCATGCATTAGGCTTTTTCGGCTGATGCATGCATTCTGCCATACTTAGTTTCTCTTGGTGTAGGCATAACATTATAAATATTTCAGTTGTAGAGAAAATTGGCTGGCAGTGGTTCAGACATAAAGATAGGTAATTGCTCTTTCATTTCTAAACTTCTGTTTTATCATAAACCATAACCTATAACCTCTGAAATCTAACATAATTGATCTCTGAAATATATGGGAGTAGGACTGGGTGTGGTGGTCCGTATCTATAATAAAGTTACATAAAAAGTAGGTGGATTACAAGTTTCAGATCAACCTGGGTAATTTAGTGATATCTTTGTCTCAATTTTTTTTACAAAAGGGCTGGGAATGTAGCTCAGTGTGAGACCCTCAAAGTCAATTCCCAGTACTGCCAAACAAAGACACATGAGTAAAGAACAGTAAAGTTTAAAGATTATATACATAGCCAGGTAAGTGTCATGGATATTATATGTATTATACAGCCTCAAAGGAACTTTAAAAAACTGCATGGATTTTATTTTCCAGAGTCTGATAGTGTGAGTTCAGGATTAGGGGGATCTTCCCTGCTTGAAAATCACTAAGTATCATGAGAGTTGTTTGGCGTGGGAGACATTCCCAAGGAAAGAGAGTGGTGTACATAAAAAGGATTAAGGCATAAAAAGTGACTGAGAAGCCCTAGGGAGTTCCATTTGGACCTCATCTTTCTACAAGAACAGTCCAGTGGCATCACAGGCCTTAAACACCATACACAGTCCTGGGAGTTGAGTAGTTATTTTGGAAATTCTGAAAGTACTTTTAATTGAGTTTTTTTTTAAGTACAAAACTCATTAAAAGAGAAAGTCAAGGTCAAAGCTAGAAAAATGTAAAGTCTGATCCAAAGGGCATTTTCTGGGCAAAAGAGCAAAGACACAATTAGGTTTATGAACTGAGTGAATGCAGAAAGAGGAGCCAGTATTCTAGATTTTCAGGAGTTGGTCTTGAACTAGGAATGGAATGCTCCTCGTTATATGTTAACAGTTTGATATGTTTCTAAAGTTAAAGAGTAAGAGAAACAGAGACCTTGGAAGCTTTGAGTGACTAAGCTGAAATCTTAAGAATATGGCAGAGTTTACTGTGTCTTCTCTCTTGTGGTCTCTTCCAGACTCTGATGATAGGACCAACTAGGGTTTTAGTCATATCAGTCTGAACAGGGCATTCCCTTCCAACTCACTCACATGGCTGCCAGCAGGATTCAGTTATCTGTGGGCTGCTGACCTAAGGGTCTTTGCTGCTGGCTGTTGGCCAGAGACTACCCTTATTCCTTGCCTGTGGCATTTTCCAGAGGGTAACTAACAAAATAAATAGCAGCTGCTTCCTCTGTGTGAGCAGGCCAGCAAGACTCAGAGCGAAAGCAACAACAAACAGGGAAGATGGCCAAGCCAAGGGCTTTTATGACTTAATCTAAGTGAAGGCATGGAACCAAGAGGTGTGGAGCCCATGAGACCATTTTAGAGCCACTATTATATATATGACTGGTATTTCTTCTGATTAGTGGAGCCTCAACCATACTGGTTGTTAAATATTTTTAATATACCTGGTTTCAAAATTATCATCACATTTGGAGCTCAAATTTACATCAGCTTTTGATTCTGATCTTCTTCACAACCAAAAGATGATAGACAGATATACATGAATGTATGTATGTGTATATATATATATATATATATATATATATATATATATATATGACAAACTGCAAATTCCATAAGGATAATGATAGTATTTGAAATTTTTTCAGTTAACTTTTTTTAGTACCTAACATAGTACTGGGAGCTCATTTAGTATTTGTTGGACTAAAGAATTCATGAAGTAGCCAAATAATTTTTAAAAATCAACTTCTTTTGCTTTAAAAAGAGCAATAGAATTATCAGGTAAGAGAAAGAAGTAAAAGCTGATAGAAACAACCTCTTCCTCTAAGGACTTGTAGTAGGCTGTAGGCCTCAGTGCTCGTGTCTTTGCCAACATATACCATTGGACCCTTAGAGGAAGAGAGCAGAGTTAGGAACTTGGCCCACTCCTTCTAAATATAATTGCTGCTAACGCATTTTCTGAGGCACTGGCTTATGCTAAACAGAAATCAGTATTTTCTGTCCCATTCTTCTTTTACAGTGCCCCCCTCCTTCCTATTTTTCAAATCCTAATGGTACCTTTCAACTCTTTGTCTATTACTTTATTTTGTACAAAGTAAGTCACCTTTGATCTGCTTCTCTTCCTGTTTCTACTTTAAGCTCTTGAAGTTGGGCTGCAGTCTCCCCAAGGCAGGAAAGCCCTCTGTCCTGTCATTCTCTACTTACAGATTGCTGAATCTTCCTCAAACCCTGATTTTATTGTGCTTTCCCCTCCTTCAAACTCCAGTAGTAAAGGTTCACTGTGTAACTTGACACACAGGCTCTATCCTGTTTCGTGTGATTACCCCACCTTTCTTTGGTCTAAGTGCTCTATGTTTCCACCTTCCTATCCTTTCTTTATCCTTTTTGGTGGTTTAGTTCTTATGTTTGTCCCTCTTTGTTGGGGGCAGAGCAAGGTTTTATGAGTGCAGATATTTAATCCTTGTACTATCTTTCTATCACTATGATGATATACCCAAAGAGTTTAATTCATAAAGAAGAACAGAACATTTTTTGGCTCATGACTTTTGAGGTCCCAGTCCCAGATCACGTGACCCCATAGCTTTGGGCATCTGGCAGGGCAGCACAAAGCAACAGTGTATGATAGAGCAAATGGCTCACTTTATTAGGCTTTAGGAATCAAAAAGGGAGAAAGTTGGGTGTGGTAACATAGGCCTATAATCCCAGTGCTCTGGAGGTTGAGGCCAGGGGATCCCAAGTGTGAGTTCTGCCTAGACTACATAGCAAGTTCAAGAGTCCAGCCCAGTCTTCATGGCTCCTTACCTATAAAGGTGCTCACCTTCCAGCACCTTTATATTGGCAGTTAAATTTCTGTTCTGAGTTTGAGGGAACAGACATTTAAACCACAAGCAGGCTCTCAGGTTCAAGCTTCATTGGTTTCCCAGGCTATCAGCCCCATCCGTACCATCTTGCTGTGCTTCAGTCAAAGGTTAAGGTGTCCATTCTGCAGAAGCCTTCCCTGCTAGCCGGATCCTGACCCAGGCTTCTGCTGACTCAAGTGACCATCATGTCTCCTACCAATTTTTAGTAGTTACTTCTTAGTGACTACTTATTTATTAAAATATTACAAAAATAATTGTATGTAGTTCAGAACTTTTTTTGTGTGTGTGATACTGGGGATTGAACTCATGACCTCACACTTGGCCAGGCAGGCGCTTACACTGCTAAGTTAAATCTCCAGTCCAGAATTTATTTGTTTTCAAAAAGGTAAAAATGGTATTTCTGAAATGTTAAACTAGTTTCAGATACTAAGATTATATGTATATATGAATATACATATATATTCTTTCTTCTTATATATGAAATTTCTTGTTCAGTATTGTATGTTCTAGAAATGACATGTTTGTTTTTAGCGGTCAGCTCTTAAAACAAGCATGTGTGATCCTTTGCATTGATGTCCACTGCATATGAATATGAGCATCCTCCTGGATTGATAATGCTGGGATGCACTTATTCATGGTGTTACTCTTTAGATTTGTGTTTGCTTGCGAGACTCCGGTATGTACTCGCTGGGCCTGCTTTTCCGTTTCAGGGCTGACCCAAGAGGGCCTGTTCAGGGTGGACGGCAGCATGAAGGCGGTGGAGCAGCTGCAGCGTGCGTGGGAGAGCGGCGTGCACGTGGATCTGGGCCCGGGGGACGTGCGCGCTGCGGCCAGCCTGCTGAAGCGCTTCCTGCGCGAGCTGCCAGGGGGCCTGGTCCCCTCCGTGCTGCGGCCTCGCCTGCTCCGGCTTTGTCACGGTCAGTATTATGGCGGGGCCTCTTCAGAGCCAGCTTCGTTTTCAGCAAAGGCTGTCCATTCTGATATTTAAAATGTAAAAGTTAAAACAAGATTTTGGATATTTGTGGCCTTTCCTCAATGATCACCTTGGTATTGCATGCCAAATCCTCTTCTCCCACCTAAAATAATACTGAACTTACACCATTTTTAAATTTGTGATACCATTGGCAAATGAATATTTGAGTTACATAATTCCTGAAAGTCCTGATGTGTGTGGGACAAAGAAATTTCCCCATAGGAGGAAGGAGAATAAAGCATTCAATTCTGTTTGCAATGCTAATCGCTTAAATGGTAGTTGATGTGTGACCCTGGAGACTGGAAGCTCACTCCTGTGCTAGCTTTTTCTCATAAGCAAGAATGAGCCCTAAAATAATTGTCATTTTGTGAGACGGAAAATTATTTTTGATTGTAGTATGAAATGATTTTAAATGAAGGAAATGCTTTTGTATTTGGTAGCTATCATTATCAAGTTCTAAAAGCAGGAAAAAAAATTATTTGCATTGCAAAGCTATTTCTTTTCTTTTTCTTCCTTTTTTTAAGTTATTCTGTTTTGTTTTGTTTGAGATAGCATCTTACTGAGTTACCCAGCATGTTCTTAAGCTTAGTATCTTCCTGCCTCAACTTCCCAGATAGCTGGATGACAGCCATGTGCCACCATTGCTGGCTCCTTCCATTGTTTCTCAGAGTGTTAGTAGCCAGACCAAGACGTCACCTCCTTTACAGCAGTTTTGTTTCTATTCACATTAAATATACTAAAAGAGTAGAATAAGAATGTCAAGTAGGATATGCAAGAAAGTGCCAGAAATACTTTACTCCAAGGAAGCTCATTTTCAAATATTGGGTGCAGTGGTATGGATAAGTGTCCTCCAAAGGTCCCTGTGTAAATGCTAGGTCCCAGGACAGCAATATCAGGAGTGCTGTGGACCTTTAAGAAGGGAGGTGTGAGGGAGTCATTGTGAATGTGACCTTGAAGAGGATAGGGGAAGTCTCTTTTACTACCTGTCTCTGTCTGTCTGTCTTGTCTGTCTGTCTGTCTGTCTGAGTACCCCTACTCCCACCATGCTTCCTGCCTTATGATGTGAGTGCCTTATCTAGCACTCAGTCCTTTCACTGTATTGCCCTCACTAGAGGCCTGAATCACTGAGGCTTGAACCTCCCAACTCTGAGCAAAAATAAATGTCCCTTTTCTTCCAAAGTGGCCCGTGCCAGGTATTTCTTGCCAGTTGATGGAAAGCTGCTTGATGTATTGGGAAAAAGTGGCTGATGAGATTCATGACAAACTACGCTAACCACACCACCAAGGCATCCACTACTATGAGAGGTGCATCTCCCACTCTTTATCATGACTCTCAACTTGACATGATTAAGAAATGTCTGGTATATTAGTTAAGGCACTTTTGGTGTGAATGAGTCACAGAGATATGACCTTGGGGACTACGTGTGGTTCCTGGCTACCTCCTTGCTAGCACTGTTGCCCTGCTCTGCTTTCTGGCCACTATGAACTGAGGAGCTGGCTCTGCCTGTTCCAGCCTTGGAGCCTGAATATACTGAGTCCTGTGAAGCTGTGAGCCTAATAAACCTCTCCTTTAGGTTGTGAGGGTCAGGTATTTTGTGCAGTGACAGGAAAGCTGACTAATATATTCCCCAAGGCCTGAATGTCAGTGGTAATATCACCTGGCCCATTTTCCATCCTCCTCAACCCTCAGTTTCCAGTGGTGACCTCCAGGCAGTCCATCTAGATTACCTGTGTCTTGTTCCTCTTTAGTATTTTCTTCTGGTCCTCAGGAACATTTGCTCACCTTTGCCAAACTCTTATAATGTTTCTTTTCAAATATTCTTAAAATAGATGATAGCTCAAGGCTTACCAGATCTATTTTTGATCTCACTATAACAAATGTACCTGGTTTCGTGGTGTTCTTTCCTTTTACTGTAAGAACATCTGCCCTGCCAGATTAGGGCCCCACTCTTAGTACTTTATTTAACCTCAGTACCTCGATAAAAGCTCTAAAAGTGGTCACATTATAAGTTGCTAGAGATGAATCTGGGGAGAAGGGATTCAGTCCATAGCAGTGGTATAATAGGAATGATCTCAGAAGCCTTGGCTACTTTTTCAAGAATGATTTTGTTTGTAATCTTAGCCACTTCATTTTTAAAAATGTGGTTAGTTTTTTTTTTTTTTTTTGAAAGGCATTATATTTCTCTTTTTAGGTTTTTGAGGAGCCTCCATACTAATTTTCATCGTACTTGTATTTGTTTACCTTGTACCACTCCTGGGTGCATTACCCCTAAAATTAAAAACAACCTACTGTAGTGACACATTCCTACTCATGTTCATCGTAGCCCACTTCACAGATGCTAAACATAAATGGATAAAAGAAGAGAGATATATACACACAAATGTGTATGTGTATATATGCATATTATTAAGTCATAAAGAAGAATGAAATCATTGGGAGAAAAATGAGTGAAACTGAAAGCAAAATAGGCCAAACTTAGAAAGTTAAAAATTTTGTCTGCTGTATGAGAAACTAAATAAATGCAATGGAGGGAAGATGGTAGGCAACTAGAAAGTAGACTTTTGAAGATAGGAAAGGGAATGGGAGAGGGGTGGAAGGAGATAAGTGATGGGGGGCTAATGGCATTGAAAGTGATTACAATTTGTTGTATGAATGTAATAATTTCTGCAGGCAAACCCCACTATTGTACATTACTATGAAGAGCATGATATAATAACAGACAAAATTATAACCCATTATGTTTTATTCTTTTGAAAATAGTGATAAAACTTGAAAGCAAAAATCAGAGAACACTTTGTTCTGGTTGTCTTACAGTGCTTTTAAGATTTCTGTGTCAATAATTGACATTTGGTAAGTGACATATGCTTGATACTTGTTAATTGGAAACTGAACTTTTTCTTGTATAAACTTTTTCATGTTATTATGTTTGAGCATTTCAAAGAAGTAAACTTCTACTATTTTGAGACTTAAAATTATTTTTTACCTGGACTATTCTATGTGCATTTCAGGAATACGAAGTTTCAAACTAAAATTTTGAATACCCTTTTAAAACAGTTGCCACAAAAGCAAATTGAAGACTTAAGCAATGTGTGCCTAATATAAAATATTTAGTAATCAAATATCTTTGTGTTTGAAATTTTTCTATAGTATTCTGTAGCACTTATTGTTGGTACACAGAAGTCTCTCAAATTTCAAAAGTTTTTATACATTTCCTAAAATAGTCTTCATCTGATGGAAAGGTGCTTCTTTTTGTTAATATAACTTAAATTATATTTTATTTTTGCTATAATCTAGATCTTCTCTGTAAGTTTTCTTCTTTGTGATATGGCTCCTGGGTATCCAAAAGCGTGCTATACATCGTACTTCTGTTTGTTAACAATTTAGTTTGCAAACACAAGCATTCAGCAGAGTTTTGCTTCTGTTCACAAACTCTGCAATCGATAGACAGCCACAGCCATCTTCCCCACACAAACACAAACGCACTATCTTCCCAAAATTGTAAAACAAATTAAGTTCATGAGATGAAGAAAGTTTTGCCTTCAGATGGTTTGATGACTGAATCTATGAAATAAGCTAACAGTAGAGAGATTAATTTTTAAAAAGCCATTTTAATTATGAGCGTTTGTGCATGAATTTTGCAAAACATGAGACTCAGAGAAGGGCTACATGATGGAAGTCTTCATACCATCCTGAGTTACAGGCAGGAGCAGCAGCTGGGCACTGCTCCTGGGCTTGGGGCAACAGTTCTAGGGGTGGGAGAGGAGGAAGTGTGTGGTGAATAAAGGTTGTCTCATTCTGCAGATTGAAAACTGTCAGGTAACACAGGTTCTGTGGAGACGGAACTGGAACCCTGGTCAATCTGCTCCCAAATATCTGTTCTCCTTCAGAGGTGAAGCAACCAGAGCTGCCTGTTTTTGCTGACAGTTTCTGAATTCTTCACCAGCAGCATCACCTTGAAAGCAAAACTGCTTCTGTAGTCAGCCTTTATGTACCTGAAATTATGCACAAGTAGCAAAATTTGAAAAAGTCAGGGAGATCGCATCTTTGCTTTATTAGTATTATTCTCTCATTCACTGAAAATCTTGAGGTCAGATCTGAGAGTAAAGAAAGTATTGATTTAACACCTACTAGGAGTAAAGCATGCTTTAGTGTCAGGATAGCCCCTATGAAGTAAATTCACTTCTTAGTAAACTCGGGTAGAAACATAAAGAGATTCTGTCCTGTCCCTGACACAGCTTGGCCAAGGTGCTCATGTAGAGTAATGAGCACACTCTGCAGTGGTCACTCATAAATCTGGGTGTGGTGAGGCTCTTTACAGACACTAAATACCTGCTGGGTTTTGTGTGTATTGTGTGAGGTTGGGGATTGCTCCAGGCCCTCGCCCATGATAAGCAAGCATTGTGGCTGAGCCAGTACCGGCCCTCTGCCTATTGTTTTTAAGGCCTACCAAGACCAGGTGTAGCCAGTTATATGTATATATTCATTTTCCCTTTTCACAATACTTCATTTTTGGGTTTGGGACAGCATCTTCCTATGTTGCCCTGCCAGTCTTGTGCTCATGCTCTTCCTGTGTTAGCCTCCTAAGAACCTGGAACTACAGGCTTATGCCACCATGCCCTTCACATCTCCCCTTTTCTAATATACCTTACTACATAATAAAATTGCTTTCATATAATTTCCTTAAGGAAGATGACACTACTTTGATAATTCAATTCTCACAATAACAGATTAACTCATTTACTGTGTCACAGCTCAGGGGTCTGTTTCTTTTTTTCTAATATGTCGCTAGAGGCCCATGAAGAGAGGATATTAGAGCAAGTGAAGCAGTTTCATACTTGAATATGCTTAAAATTTTTCAGGTCAAGCTCCTCTCATCCCTGCTTTGTGGGTGGGAATTCTGGAATCCTAAATGAGTGATTTAGAGTGTAATTGCAACTGCAGCT